ATGCCCTCATCCCCAGAAGTAAAACGGTTCTTGAAAGCCATCAGGAAAGTAAAACAAAAGCTAGTGGCAGAAACTGGTATCAGACAAAAGACTTATGACCAGAGACATGAGACACCTGCTGTCAAAGCTCCCAAGTCAATGCTGGTTTCCCATTCTGAGGCACTACCAGGCTTTTTGAAAGCCATTTTTTTTCAGCTGGTAACACTTTTTCTAAATACATCTAACTGGGAGAGATAAAAGAGCCAGCAAGATGTAAAAGAGACCAGGCTGAAGATCTGTTAGTGTTATCAGTTCAAAAGAGTTTGCAGGTGCAATGGGGGGAGGAGGGGAGTACACCCTCTCTTTTTGAAGAGGAGAAAAAAAATAAATAAAGATACTGTTCTAAGGCTTTTAGGCAAAGTTCCTTTAAAAGGAAAAAGAATAAATACCTCAGACCACAAAGTATAATTTACAAGCTTAATTTCATTGTTTTGCCAGTCTGCTTTGTCCCATGAAGTGACAGGTTCAGAGACGACCTCTCAGCCACCCTCCACGCCTGGCTTCAAACAGCCCGGCCATGCCTCACAGCTCACCAGCATACACAGCAGCTTGAGCGTCGAGAGTGACCAGAGTAAGATCTTACCCATAGTTACTCATCTTACCCTCCTCTGAGGGCTAGTAAACTTTATTGTTCTGTTAGTAAGTCGTTCCAAAGCAAAGCATATAAAAAGGTATGTTTTAATTTTACTAGCATTGTGGTAAGAAATCATCCAAGCGCTGCATTGACTTCTGTTCAGCTTCTATTATTTGGGAACTAGGCACACATCCACTCAAAGATGTTTTTAATAGTGAAAGGAGTACTAATAAGTCCAGAACCCGATAGTCACATAAGGACAAAAGTCATCATATATTTATGCGACAAAGTTAAGGGCACAATCTTAAGAAACATTTACCTCACCCACGACAGTCCCATGCCAGGGACATTATAGTACAAATGTACCCATTAATTTGTCTCCATGAGGTTTTCAGCTAATAGAAAAGTCATTTCCGAATTAAAGCTTTTAGTGATGCAAGAAGCTTGCAGTGCACATTCACCTAAATGCTGTAAGTTATGCACTTACCCTAAGTAGCACAGAAAAGCTCTGAGAAATTAAACTGAGCGAATACTCAGTTTTAGAGCAAAAAACAGGCCAATGTCCTGAAGCTGATGCAAAGCACACCCATCAAGACAAGTTACTTCACAAAAATGCTCAGGAGACAGAATATATAAAATTACATGCATCAAGGTATATCTTGTTTTTAAAGGTTCATGACATTCCTGTCAGGAATTTTCTTCTTACTCAGTCTTAATTATTTCTTGCATCTTTTTTCACTTTTATATTTTCACTAACATCATTTAAGAAGTTCCACTTTTTACAACTTTATCCAATTTGTTTTATGTCCCATGGAAAAAACATAGAAGACAACTGTCTGCAGAATTCATTCAGAGTGCAAACATCCAGGAAATTTTTAACGCTTGAGCTGGACTTATTCTACAAAGGCCAAAATTGAAGAGAAATAAAGATTTAACCAACTGAAATCTAAGGTAAAGAAATGTAGTACTCATAGAAGTCTTCCAATAAGTTAATCAGTAGGTTATGTCATTAAACAAGAAAACAGAGCCCTCTATATTCAACTAATATTAATGCAACTGATGTTTTATTTTTTAAGCAACTAAAAATCAGAACACTTGCACTCATAAGTCACTATTAGTCCATTTTGTCCTTCCAGGATCAAAGCTGCGCTAGGCAGTGTTTCTGAAGTTTAATACCAGCCAGAAAGTCTGCGAGCCTAGAATCAAGATTCTTTTATATCTATTCCACTCCTCTTCCAAGAGGAAATTAAAGACTAGTTTAAATAACTTGCACACTTACATTGTGTATTTGTTAACACTTTGTATTAAACCAAAATTTGATGCGACAGTTTGAAACTGATAAGCCTGTGGGTTTGTTACCCACAGGCATACAGCAGCTACTACACTTATTTTTTTATATTTATATGCTTAATGACTACATGTGAAGAGAGATCAAAAGGATCAAGGGAACATTAAATAGTACCAGAAAGCTTGAGCTACCCCAGGTAGATTATTGGTATTCAGAAACTATTAACACAACACCGCTGTCTTCAAATACCTGAAGGGAACACACAGAGAAGCCAGATTCTTCTCAGAGGTCCACAGTGGTAGGATGAGGGGCAAGGGACTAACATTGCAAGACAGGAAATCCCAACTAGATATTAGGAAAGAAATTTAACAATGAGTGTAATCAAATGTTGTAACAAGTTATCCAAAGAGACAAGAAGTGTTTATCCTTAGAGATATTGAAAACACAACTGCACAAATCATGAGCAAGCTGATGTAAGTTAGTCCTGCAGCAGGCTGGACCAGATGACCTCTACTGGTCCCTTCCAACTGAAAATTACTTTGATTCTGCAACATTTGCCTGATGTCTGTTTCATAGATCAGCTGATGGCAGAAGGGATGAATGATGCAGGTCTCTGATTTAATCTGAAGTAGCATTCAGGACCTTGTTAAAAAAACTTACTGCTGAAGAGCCTGTCCAAGAGGAACAACAGCATATTAAGATTCAACATCTCTGTAGGAGCAACAAGAGCCAAGAACACCCTCACAGCTGTGCTTAGCTTCAAAAGAAGATACTGGAATAAAATTGAGGATACTAAGGAGATGCAAAATTGGCAGTAAGAAGGATCAGATCCTTACAGGTAGCACACAGAGAAAATAAAGACACCATATAGACGTACCGGGTAGTAAGAAACACTTGAAAGAGCAAAAGGAAACAGGCCAACTAGGAGAGTCTACTAGGAACAAGAAGACAGCCTTCACAAAGTTGAGGCTGTACCCAAATGAACAAGGCTATGCAGAACTGTTAATTTGTCAAAACAAGCCAAAACAAAGCAGAACCCCTCTCCTACCTCACAATTTACAAAAGGAATAATTAAAAAAAAAAAATCCCTTTTTTCTTCAAAATGCATTGAGAAGAACACATAGGACCAGAAGATGACCAGATTACAGAAGAATGATAATCTGGAAAACACACACAGAACAGCGATTTCTTTGCAACTGTTCTGTTTCACCTTCTAATCCTTGCAGAGAATTAAAGCCTTAGTCTTGTGGACTCCCAGGGTCTGTTTCAAGCCATAGAACAGAGTACCAGAACCACGGTACTAGGACATGTTTTGACATGGTTTGAATACCCAACACAGGAACAGTGATATGCAACTGCTCACCTGAAACAAAAGTGAATGTACAGTATTTTGGTACCAAAGAGCAGAAGAGCAGCAAGCATGACAACTTTTAAGGAAACTTCAGGAAAGATCTCAACAATGAGCCTGTAATCCTTATGTCTCTATTAAGCAAGTTAAGAGAAAAGGGTGGCACTGAATGAGTATTACACAAATGGGGAAGAATAAAAGCAACTTTTTCAGAGGAAAGTCCTGTTTCACAGACCTAGTGGAATTCTCTAAAGGAAGCAGCAAGCACAGGCACAAGAGTCATGTAGCTGATGCAGTTGGTGTGAAAAAAAAGAAGTCCTTCAAAAAAATTAAAAAATAAAAGCTTTCAAAGAAGTTAACTGGTCACATATGAGATAAAAAGTCCTTTCATGGACAGTAACTGGTAAAGAGATAGTAAGCAGATGGTAGGAAGAACAGTCAGTTTTTACTTAGTGGAAGATGCTGACCAGTGCTGTTTCACAGATTATCTGTGCCCTTTGTTATATCCATTCACAAATGACCTGAAAGTTAGCTCATAAAATGAAGTCAGTCATCAACATTACAAACACAAACATTTGTGGAAGGACTTTACAGGATTGAGTGACTAGACAATAGATTTGCAGATTAAACTCAGTAGGGGTGGGCGATACCTATGTGAAAACAATTATATGAACTGACAAACTCTGAGTTCATTACTGATGAAGGAGTAAGATACTGGGGTAATAGGATACAGTTTAATGACATGGAGCAAAATAAGTGAACACAAAATAGTATACCACTGTAAAAATCTAGAGTGTGTTCACACCTTGACTCCTGTGTGAAGCTCTGCTCTGCCTCCCATTCTTTCCCCCTCTATCACACCAACTTCGGAGGAAGAAAAGGTCTGGAAATCTGTCCCCTTTTAATTCTATTTATTATTAGGGATGTGTTGCAGCTAAACAGACTCCAGGATTCACAGCCTGAAACAGTATAAACTGTAAACTCTTGGGTGCAGCACACATACGTGTAGAGACAGTAAATGGTACAACACTGGAATAACACTGCGGGACCATGTAGGGTAGGAGATGCCAAGTACAATGCAAACTCATTTATACTTAAACCCAGAAATGATCCCTGATTCACCTATTCCCATGCCAGTGAGCATACCAACAGTTAAGCAGCCACAGACTAACAGGTTCAGTAATACAGCTTGTTCCCCATCCCAATTTTGCTTGGTAGCACAGATTCCAGCCTTGTTTCTAATACTTTAACATTCCGTTGGATAGTTGCTTTTGGCTACAGTGCTCTCCCACAGTCAGAATAGAAGTAACCCCCGGGCATAGCCCTACCCCCTGCCTTCCCGAAGTATCTGGAGGGGAAGAAACACGTTTTAGTCCCAGCACTAGGATGTGTGGTGTTCCCTAAGAGAGAATCTTTCCCCTAAGAATCTCCTGCCCTTCAACTCCCCACATTCGTCTTTCTAACAGCTACAGTCTTTGTTACACAAAGAGGTCAGCAATCCTCTCTTGGCTTAGGCAGCCACCAGCCTCTTCCAACATAACCTAAAAGAAACATGCAAAGACTCTCAAGTACGGAAATCCTGCAAAGAGGCACCATCTCCCATGTCCAGATACTAGGCTAGAAAGAACTTTAACAAACACAACCATCGTTATGAGGTCAGGATGTTGAACTCTGTTGTCCATCGACCACACAGCACATCTCTTGATCAACTTCCTAAACTGTTTGCTAGGAGTTGTCGAATCTTTGCTTACCTGAATGAAAGTAGCACCCTCTACTGCTGCATTCAGGTCTGTACAGATGCTAATGAGAGCCAACTGCTGCTCCGCACTCAAAGCTCCTTTCAGGAATCCCGACTCCTCCAGCTCCTTCATTTGTTTGCTGACAAAAACAATACAAGCAATTAAGTACTTTATCACTGTCAAGCCATCATTAATTTTTAAAAAGCTTCTTAATAACCCAGTAATATTATACTAGTTTCCACGCCACTGCATATAATTATTCTCAAAAAAATATAAATGTTAGTTTCAGCCACTTCACTTTCCTCCCTCCATCTTACAAATAACTTTTTTCTTCTCTTCAAGCATGGACAGCTATAAAGTCTACTTCTAGATGCAAACTTGTCACCACCTCAAACTTTTTTTCACTAGTGCAGGATCAGCAAGTTTTTCTACTAATATTCAATGGGAAGAGAGGTCCCTTTAATACACTTCATCTAGTTTTACAAACTGCAGCTCTTTCGGTATGAAGCCTCACTGCAGTAGCACTGATTAACTGCATAGAAATAAACAAATACATTCCATACAGCCAGAAGTCCTTCCTAAAAAAATCCATACCCCTACATAGGTAATGGCTACAGAGCAAGTGTCAGAAAATTCAGGTAGTTACTAAATTGAATGGCCAGAGCTTGAACTCAACATTCAAGTACACATCACTGCCGGGGCTGGGCACGTTGTCTTCTTAGGAAAAGTCTCTACAGTTTGAAACACTCAAAAATCCAGAGCAAGTAATTTTCAAAACTGTTGAACGTCACTTAAAAGAAGCAGTTTCCACAGAAATTAAGTGGGATTAAACTATCTGATCATGACCAACTTAAAGCTATTTGATGTATCCATTATCACAATTAAATCCGTCAGCTGCCTCGAGCCAGAACTCCTCTGAGTCTTTGGTATTATTCAGCAAAAATTGCTCATCCTGAAGAGAAGAGGAAATTGAGCTAATGATTAGCAGCAAGGAAAAAACAAAACAAAACAAAACATTCTTCTCCCTGGTAATCTAGTTTTGAGGCTTCAGCTTCTTTTTGGATTCCTTTTTACATGATAAATAAATTGCACTTGCCACTCAGTTGGAGAGTGGAAAAACTGTAGCAAACAGAGAAGCTGTACTGCCTGGAAAAAGTTAGTGTATTTTTGTACTGCACAAGTCATATAACTGCGCATAGAAATAACCAGTGATCCACTGTGTGTTTCCTAAGTGACTGGGGCACTGATGACAGTCTTCATTAGGGGTTTTATGAGACAGTGCATGTTAAATGGGCAGAACTTCTTCATAGAGGCCCAGATGATCTCCACTACCAGTCATATCTCAGTCCTTAATACACCTGCCCAGGTCCTTCCATGTATCCCAAAAGTAACGCTGGATTCATTTTTGTACGTAGAGACCTCAGATGAGATGGGACCCCATATGTTTGTCACAATCTATAGCTGCCAGACAGACACCTTCCTTAGTCCTCAGAGAGCAGGGCAGGCAGCCAGCCACTAGACTGGGATGTCAGCCCCAGACTGCTTCCCCAGTCCAGCTCCAGCACTTAGACCCTGTGGCAGCGCTTCCTCACCCCCGTGCCAGTGACACCGCTGCAGCCACCTTCACATCAACCAACAATCCTAACCAAACCAGACAGGGAGCAACTGGACCTCAGCTCCCAGTTGCTTTATGAAGTAGCAGGAGGCGTCATCTACATTTTTCAAACAGTATTTTAAATTAATTGAAAGGGGAGAGGGATGTAGATCATTGACTCTATCTTTTTTTTCTCTCTCCTGTTTCCAGGCCACCTGATTTTTTTTAGGCATTCAAGTATGCAAACCATCTTGTCTTATGATAAAGTACCTATTTCTGCCAAAGAAAATAGCTCAGAATGAGGCATTTAGACCACAGTATTCTGAAGTCAAAGATTAAAGTTTGCAGGGATTTATTTAAAGACAACCCAGTTCCTACTTAACTACAAGTCAAACCTCAGCAGAGATTCACTGGACCCTCAAATCTTTATCTTGAACTGGCTCACTAAATCTACCATTAACTTCCAAAGAATCTGAATTTTACTTCACCATCTATGTAGTTGTGTTATGTCCAAGAAAATACAACAAATATAGGCTCCATCACTTTTATCGTGGCTTTATTAAGAGGTCATAAACATCTGCTGCTTTGCAAGTTACTTTGATGTCCTTTCTTCCACTCAAAGAAGTAGAAAACAGAACATTTGTTTCCTAGCAAACAAAACGGCTTCCTAATATATCTTTCTGACACCAACCCAGAGCAGCAATACCTTATCCTGGAGTAACTCCACTATAAATCAAGGTAAGGAGCACTTAGTAGCCACTTTGCAGTAGCCCAAAAAATGCATAGAGCAGTTCTGCTCCTGGTTTAGCACAACAGTGAGAAGAAACCTTCAGATCACTGTGGACTTTGTACATTAAATCAATAGATTTCCGATAAGATGTCAACAGAGGCTGTGTTTGAAGCTGGTAAAGGTGACTGTGCACTTTCTAAACCAGAATATGCACCCATCTTTCAAACTGGGAAGAACAAAACCAACAACAAAAATCCACATGCATGTATACACACAGCACTTACTCCTACAAACATTAACTTTCTCCTCTTCAATGAACTGCTTCAACAATTAACTCCAGATAATCATTTCTGTACTGTAAGTTCTAACACTTCCTCTTTATTTTTGTCAGAGCTGATCATGGGCAATGATTTTTGACTCTTAGGCAGAGCACGTCTGGGTAAACAGCAAGGCACTGCATTCTGTTTATATTGGACAAGAACTTTGAAAAGGTTCAGCTCATTCTTAGGGAGAAAATGAAGCCAAGAGTCACACGCTTTTTAGACACTGCTCAGGTCTGTCCTGTTTGCTTCCCTGCAGTCCCTTAGACTTGGCACCAAAATTAGTGTTCCTACCAGTTTATGCAGTCCAAAACCGATGAAACAGTTTCATTGACAACTTTCTGCCTATTTTCTCAAATATGGATTTAACCTCAAAACCCCAGACCTTTTCTGCCCAAAACTAAACTAGTCATAAATTATTTTCTGGTTAAGTTTTGTTTAAAAGCACTTTAAGAAAGAAAAAAGAAAAAAAAAGAGGTGGGAAAAAAAAAGTGTTCAAATACACAGCTCTCCAGGGAACATCACAGAAATAAGCAGGAAATCCAAGTGTCTGGATGAGTTCCCCATTTGGTTTCTTAACAATACAGCTAATGGATGGCTGGAACACACAGACTTCTGCCTTTGAGCAATCTGTATGGTAAGAAATAGGAAACAGGAAGATTCAGCTCCATTTTCCAAGCTGCCAGGGTACATCACAGCTTGCTAGGCAGGAGTTACATCCAAGACTTAAGGTTTTCAGCAGACTCAAGGTGTGAGTGCTTCATCTGTAAAGAAACAGGTGCACCTAAACTAGAGTATCCAAACTTCTGACACCTTCACACCTTGTGTGGTGAGATGGCAAGGAATCAATCACAGAAGCATTTAGGTTGGAAAAGACCAATAAGATCACTAAGTCCAACTGTAAACCTAAGTCCACCACTAAACCATGTCCGTAAGCACCACATCTACACGTCTTTTAAATACCTCCAGGGAAGGTGACTCAAACACTTCCCTGGGCAGCCTGTTCCAATGCTTGAAAAGCTTTTTGGTGAAGAAATTTTTCCTAATATCCAATCTAAACCTCACATGGCACAACATGAAGCTCTTTCCTCTAATTCAAAAGGTGTTAACTATACATTCATTGGACGTTCATTTCCCGGGTGCACCTAAATCCAGCAACCTCCTCTTGCTCATAGACTGTTATGTTGCTTTTAAAAAACAAACCTAAATGTAAGTTTGAAGAGACCACAATAGAATTACGTCTTTCTTTGAAGAGGATGAAGTTCTTACTTTCTGTGCAATACAACACTAGTCTCATCCTCCCTGTCCTCTAAAACTCCATTCCATAGAATCATAGAATGGTTTGGGTTGGAAGGGACCTCAAAGATCATCCAGTTCCAACACCCCCTGCCATCAGCAGGGACACCTTCCACTAGATCAGGTTGCTCAAAGCCTCATCCAGCCTGGCCTTAAACACTTCCAGGGAGGGGGCATCCACAGCTTCTCTGGGCAACCTGTTCCAGTGTCTGACCACCCTCACAGTGAAAAACTTCTTCCTAATATCTAATCTAAACCTACTCTCTTCCAGTTTATGGCCATTACCCCATGTCCTATCACCATCTGCCCTTGTAAAAAGTCCCTCCTCATCCTTCCCCTAGGGCCCCCTTCAGGTACTGGAAGGCTGCTATAAGATCTCCCTGGAGCCTTCTCTTCTCCAGGCTGAACAGCCCCAACTCTCTCAACCTGTCCTCATAGGAGAGGTGCTCCACCCCTCGCATCATCCTTGTGGCCTCCCCTCTGGACTCACTCCAGTAGGTCCATGTTCTTCTTACGTCGGGGACCCCAGAACTGGACACAGTACTCCAGGTGG